TGACAATGGAGGATGAATGAACAGGGGTTACACAAGGGTCAGTACTGGTACAGAGGAATTCTTAAGTCTCTGGTCCCTGGTTTGTCTAGTGCTGACAACTGACTTCATCCTTCAGGCTTAGCAGCATTTGCAACTGTAATGCTTGGACAGTTTGAAAAGGAGAACCGTTTTGGCCCCAGTTGACAGCCACACAGTGCAGCCAAGAGAGCTGTGGTTGCAGGCAGGTGGGTTGCAGAGGTGAGAAGAGGAGACACAAGTTGGAAAGGAACTACAAGCTGAGAAAAGTATGGTTTCTGCAAGTAGAGGGAATGCCAGAGGGTCAGAGGCATAAAAGAAACCACTAGAAAGATCTCTGGGGAAGTTGGGGGAAGGAGAAATAAAGGCAGTGTTTGTTTCTCTTGGTATATAGTAAAAACTGGGGGCAGGGGGGAGGAGGAATTGAAATGATGTTTAACTTACATCTGATTACTTAAATTTTTAAAAAGAGGGGGCTAGATTTTAAATGAGCACTGACAAGCAAACATTTCTTGGACCAGTAAGGGTAAGAGTGCTGACATTCACACACAGTTTCACTCAAAAGGTACCTTACCTGTCTAGAAGAATTCAAGTTTTGCATGCCCAGCCCTGAGGCAATCCCACCCAGGGTCTGATTAGGGAGTGCACTGTTTGAAAGGGGGAGCTTCAGGCTTGGTGAAGGCAAAAATGGTGAAGTAGTGGGCTCTTCCACTAGGCCGCCATCCTGATTGAAAAAAGAAAGGGTGAGCTGTGTGCAGTGTCCAGGTACAGACAGTGCACAAAACAGTTTCCCATGGAAATATAAGTGGAACATGGATGAATAAAAGATCAAAATATTGTTCAAAAAAGCATGAGGAATACATAATGAAAAGTATGGGGTGGAAGGAAGAAGAAAAAGAGAAACAAAATTAAGGTACTGTTTGTCTTTCCTTTTTGCTTTGCATTTCTTAAAATATTAGAACTATTAATTCTCAAATATGTAGAACAACAAGTGCAAGCATAATGCCAAGAAGTGGTCATTACATGGCAATCCATCACTTGTCTCAATTGGAAAGGCAAGAGCATGTCTCCAAGACATACTGTTCTCCAATTCTTACTTTCATGCTCCTATTATTTCCTCTTTTCTACCATATTATAAAACAAAAAAGGACACAATACAGAAGAACATTTAGTTTTTCTGAAATCCAAAGGCCTGACCCCAGTGTTGGAGCTCTGCCCTAATGGAAACTGTGCTCAGACATATGGAGTACAAACATATTTGTATATAAACACATGATAAAGTCCTCAATGAACTTGCTTGAACATGTTTTTGGCAATATATATAATCAATAATTCCTCTTTTAGTTACTCCCCTGTAATGCAATTCAGCTGTTCAGAAAACATATTCCATTCACCCTCTGTGTCTTCTGCTGTTATCTATGTGACATGAAACTCTTTTTAAACATCAGAATAGTAGTCACTTTGCTTTCAAACACCCAACACTTGTTGCAGATATATCAGTGAACTCAGTTTTTTTCAGAACCCTTCACCATTCAATCAGAGGAGTGAGGCAGGAGAGAAGGAGGTTGCTAAATAGATTGATTACAATTCTGCCTTGTCAAGTCTGGCCCAAGGAAAAAACCATTTATATGTTTATGTTTCATTGATATCAGTAAGATAATGTGGGCTTTCATGGGGCCTATTCTGTAGGGCAGCATTCTCCAACTTAGTCTTAAGAAAAATCGAGTTGTAATCATATTTTCTTATTATTTCCAGTTACAGATTTACCCTAAAATCTGGAGTAGGACTATTTTACATTCCCTATATTGTAAGGAAGGTATGTGGCAGTTTCTGTGGATATGTTCAGAGGTAATATATTTGAGCATCCAAAATGTAAGAGTGGAGTTCACAAGGTTGTTTCTCCCTTGTCCTCTTCTTGCATATGCACAGTAAATTCATTCCTGACCCAGACAATTACTAATGGGAGGGGGGGGAGGGAACTGATCTTGGGGCACCTTATAAAGAGTCTTGCAGTCCCCTCTGGAAATAGTCTGAAGCTACATTCCATCTCTGACTGAGAGGGTAAACACAAACCACAGTTTGTTGATTTGGATGTAATTGTAAATTATGGTTTGCCTCAAAATCAGGAAGGAGAGAGCGAGACTGAGAGAGAGAGAGAGAGCCTCCATGTACAAGGGGAAGAAGGAAGGTTTCTGTGATACTCATTTTCAACCTTATATACCATGGTTTGGAAAATCACATCTGAACAAAACTTAACAATTGAGGAAATCTACAACCTGGGATGAAAACCTGGGATGAAAAGGATTTGAGAAGATCTCTTTTCTCTACCCAGTGTTTGACTAGCAAGCTCAGATTCCACTTTGAGATTTGTGATTATAATGAACCAAAGGATTTCTGTGTAGAGCTAGAATCTTTGGACTTAACAAAGAATAAACACAGTGAGTCAGTTTGGCTGTAAGACTAAATTATGATTTTCTATTACATACACATCACAAGGTGGATAAGCCATCTTGAGTCCCAATCTTAACTACTCTAGTCCTAGTACTGAGGAAAAAGTAGGGTATAAATAAAAAGATTGATTGATTGATCAATCTATGTGTCTTGCATTTGTCTGCTCCCTTGTCCCTGTCTTTTGCTACCAGTTCTAAAATAACAAGCATTTCCTATTGCATCTACACCTAGGGAACTGTGATTAGATGGAATTCTGTTTAGTGAACAAAGCAGGATCATAATTCATAGCTCAATCTTAGTTTGTCCTTATTAGAACAGGAGTGTGTAGGGACCCCCAACTGGGGGCTACATAGCCACCATATTTGTCTTGAATGAGCTCTATATCACAGGAGGGTGCATCACAGAGCTCTGTGTAACCAGAGGGTAGAGTGCCTGTGTGCTTTCTGGAAGTGACAGGATGGGGGAAACTGTCATAATTTGCATGGTGAATATGGTAGTAGGAGCCACTAAAAGGGGCACAACCACTGCAAAGAACTCCCATATTACATATAAACAGGCCCACATTATGTGCCATGGAGCAATTAACAGAGAAAGAGTCTTCTACTATCATGTTGACCCATGAGAAAAAAAATGATATTATGCAAAAAGCAAGCCATATACAACCCACTAGTTTCATATTGCAGCAGGGAGTTTACTAAGGGTCTTGTCCTCTGTGGCACTAGATTAAGTGTTCAATGCCTAAATATCTCCTTCAGTGAGCAAATGTTTGACAGGTAAAAGCCTGAAACCATGTGGAAAAATCCTAAATTTACTGTGTAGTTTGCAAATAATTATAATTTCAAGAATGCATGCTCTTCATTCACTTCTTAAAAGCAGTCATTTTACAGCTAATTTGAACCATCTCCTAACCAATTCACTCAGAAGATTATTAACTGTCAAGAAATGTTCTGTGTTCCTAAAAGGGGTGAAGTATTATTCAGTGCTAAACACAAAAGGTCTGTCCTAGATACATCCTGCTAATAGGAGTTTTTCAGTAGCTCCTTGTAGAGGCCTAGGCAATGTTTCTTCAACCGAGTGTTACTTAGTCTAGTGCTGGAAAGCCCTGAGGGATGACACTGACATTTTCTAATCATATCCCCAAGGTCTTTCAGCTCAACATGCTTAACATTCTGCAAGAATATCCTCATGGTCCACAAACTGCAGCTTGCATGACAGTAACAGGTTCAAGGATTTCTTTTTCTCAGGTCATGAGCAGTTTGCAATCCTCCTTGTGTCTTAAGTGGCAATAGTTTTTAATCGTCCTATATTCCTTCTATATTCCTACTTGCAAGTGGACTGCTCTATGTAAACCATGGGTTCTATTCACATACAAAGTGTCTGTGGAATGTTGCTGATAAATGTTCACACAGACTCCAAAGTTGATCATGCAATACAAGTATCTTTAGGTTGTGCTAAAGTAAATACTGGCATTCAAGATCTCTTTGTAAACTGCTTATTGAATGTAGAAATATTGCTACAATGAGAAAACCTAACTTCTCTGAAGGGTGAAATTTCCCATTTCCAGAAAGAAATCTACTATGGGAAACTAATATGAATGGAAGCAATCCCCTTGAATGGAAAGTTCAGCAGCAATGCACACTTGACCTTTTCATAGAATTTTTGGGTAACTCCCAGTACAGTCAAATCTGGTTTAAAAAACCGTCTGCAGCCTGGAGACATTTAACTCAAGCAATTCATGCACCCAATAACTATACACATGTTGTTGATTCAGTACAGAAGGGACATTTTTAATGTTCATACCCATTAAAAGGTTGTCACAAAATACTAACAGCTAACAAATTAAGTTGTGCCTGAAGTAAACTTAGACAAAATTAGGAAGAGAAAAGAGAAGCACTCCAGTTCTCTTGGGGCGGGGCAAGAACTCTAAAAGGAGGGGGGAAACAGACAAGAATCACTATGAGTCAAGCTCCAATATCTGGGCACAGCTAGGTTTTCATGCAACATATCTGGCCGAATGTACACCTGCACCATCATGTCCTAATATTACACAATTATTTTTATTAAAATTCTTCTGCTTAGCAACTTCTCCTACACTAATGGGATCCTACACTAATGAGAAAGAAGCATCAAGAAATCAGGGCTCAAAGAGAAAATCAGATATGGGTTTTTAAAAAATGGACTACATCTAAATCATTTGTTGTACTTGAGTATTACTGTGCAAAATATTTTTATTGTATATACTATCTTTAAAACATAATCAGAGAACTGTGAAGTTATTGTGTGCCTTCAAAAGTCATTTCTGATTTATGGTGACCCTAAGACGATAGTATATGTAGCATTACCATAAGTGGAGAAGCTAAAACCAAGCCCCTCATGAGCCTGGCTAAAACTTCCTTCAGTTTGGCTGGTGGTGCGACATGATGGGAATGGTCGTTTGTTAGAGCCTGGAGGGTCATAGATTCCCCATCCTTGCCCTATTATGGGGTTTTCTGGGGCTTAGATGTGGACTTGCCAAGGTCACTAGTGGATTTCCATGGCCAAGTGGGGAATTGAACCCTGATCTCCAGAACTATAGTCCAATGCTCAAACCATTACACTACACTGACTCTCCTGAAAAGTGTGATATTTCAGGTCAAATTGTAAGCTGTCTGCTTGAAAACTGTCTTTCAAAAGCCAATCAAAGGACTGCTCTAAGCAACAAATCCATTCATTACAGAGCTAGCTTAGAGATTCTTATTTTATTTTGTGTCTCATTAACAGGCTGAATTCCTCCTGGAGTTTTTGCGATCAGGAAGTATTCCTCCTGGATGTTTTGCCTCTTTGAAACAACACAAATTAGTGATGGGCTCAGCAAACTACAATATTGGGTAGGAATTTGAATTTGTCTCTACCTAATCTGAGTCTAACACTCTGAGCACGACATCATACGAACTCCCATTTACACTATCAGAGTATATGACACATTACAGAGCAAAATAAACAAAAACAGGTCCTATCATAAAAAAGAAGATATAGTGTTGGCATTTCTTCATTTTTACTTTACTAAAAGGGAGTGGACTAAATGAATTTTAGCTAATTGCCAGATTCTTTGATTCTATCACATGCTGGAGTATGAAGGAAATTTGCACCAATAATAGTGGCATTGTAAAACACAAACATTATTTTAATGCACTTTGAGTCACAAAGGCTTACTACTATAAAACATGACATCAAACCCCAACAGAAGAATGAACTAGTTTTTGTCCAATTCTTAGAAGGAACTGGCCCTAACATTTTACACAAACCTCATCATTTGGTGCATTATTAACAGTTTGTGGGTATAAATAGGTCAAATCTATTCCTCAACAGTTCCTATAAACAAGTGTCTGTGGGGGAATCTCTTGCTCTTCAGACACTCTGATTTACAACTACCATCAGTCCTGTCTAGGATAGTTTAAATGGTAAGAGAGTGCCAGGAGTTGTAGCTGAAAACATCTGGAGGGCCAAAAGCTTCCATAAAAGAACAGATAAAAACATCAAATGCCTAGGGATACAGTGTGAATGCCAAATATCTACATTCTAGCACATCAATGCTTAAGCAAATGGAATAGAACATTTTCCTTTCCAAGGAAGCAACAATGCTGCATTTTACAAGTATTTGATGTTATGTGTCTTCCAAGTCAACCTTGACTTATGATCCTATCATAGTGTTTTCTTGGCAAGATATATTCTGAGGAGATTTGCCATTGCCAGGGAGCGTGACTTGTCCAAAGTCACCTAGTGGACTTCCACAGGTATTCAAACCCTGTTCTCATAGAGCCTTAGGCCAAGAATCAAATCATTATATCATGCTAAACTGATATACATATTTTACCAGTATCAAGGAAAAAAGCTAAGGGAACAGAACAAAAAGGCAAAGCATTTTGCTCCTACTGCTTTCTGACAGGCTTATTTAGTATTTGCTATTTCCTTCCACTTTCCACAAAGTCTACCTTCTACATTTGCAGAAGGCTGCACCTACCTTGTCAAGGAAAGTGGGGCGGTCCATGGAAGACTCTTTGGAGATTTGTGGTGGGCGGCAGCCAAGGGGTTTGGTGACCATTCCATTGTAGTCAGCCACTCCCATTCCACGCTTGTCCATTTCCACCTTCTTTTCCAGCAGAGCACCTGCAAACAGAAGAAGATGTGAGGATATAAATGAAAATGAAGGGAAAATCTCAAAATAAAGATAAAATGATACTCCTTTTGATACAGCTATTTCTACACTCCTGCTGACTTTATTAAATTTTGTGAGTCAAAATTTAAAATGCATTTTGCCTTTTAAAGCAGCAATTCTTCATGGAAGATAATTGACAACTAAGCCAGCCTATTGATAAAATGCTGACAGGACAAATGATGCTGAGTTCATTGTAACAGATCAACATTCTCAAATATCTATTTCAGTTACAGTAATACTTACTCATGGCCTGATCTAGATTCATACTGTTACTCTTCAAGGCCTCTTCTGCTGGCTCTCTCTGCAAAAATAAGAAAGTGGGCTTCTTCAAAACCAATACTATTGACAATTGTAAAGACAATGGGAAAACACACCTAGCGATTTCAGCCAAACAAACAAATTATTTTGCTCAAACCATTCACCTGACTCAGTTAGTATAAAATGGTATAATTTTATGCCAACATAGTTAGCAATTTTTTTTAAAAACAAACAAACCTGGAGTTAGCAAATTTTCTAAGAATCACATTTAGTAGCTCCTGAAACCCACTCCTTCCTTTGTCAAGTGGTTTTAACATGGCACTCTGACATTGTGTCTGTGCTGTTCTACACCTACCAACATTTAATGTTCAAAAGATGGTGATAGCAGATCAGAGAAAAAAGGCCTAGAACAGTCCTGTGAATTTAGCAGTAGTCTGATTTGCAGGCACTGCTTTTCACTGCACAGAGGTAAACTTCAGCACCTGGCAATCTGCAGTCCAAGCTGAAGTTAAATATTAAGTCTGAGATAGATTGATTTAACAGATTGATTTTAGGTCCAACACTACTTGGTCAAGAAAGTGGAAATCGACAATAGTGTAAATGTTCGGTTTTGGGAAAATTATGTGGCATCAGATAAACCTCCTCTCCTCTTTCACCCCATCTATATCATTCAAAAGGTTTTTTTGCCAGTTAAGTTTGACCAGGAAATACTGGAATATCAGTGCTACTCACTGGGAAGCCCATGTCTGTGAGCTGTTTTATCAGACGGTTCATGATCCAGGCCTCATCTTGCTTACTAGATGTCTTCATGCCCTGAAAAGCAGCATGGGAAAATATCTTAATAGTTCATTGTTAGAGACAGAGGAAATAGCTAGTTACTTGCCATTAACTCCTTTTTGTAGTAACAAAAGGTCTAACCACCTAATATAGCTGTAACTTAATAAGCAACAACTTCATTCTGTTTACACTATACCTAACTTTTAAAGTTATTTTTATATTTCTGGGGGCAGCATCATTAAATGGTGGTGAAGGAATGGCTCAAGAGCCATTTATGCCATGACTTGTGCTCTGTTTGGGTTTTGAGGTGATAACAAGCTGGATAAGAGTAAAAAGGGGTTTGTACCACAGGCTAGCTTTGTAGTAATGAGATGTGGTGCTTAAGGTAAATAAAAATAATTGTTTTAGTTTCTTTTGAAAAATCAGGGAAGTACAGTTACCATTTTTTTAAAAAAATCAACTATAATAATATAGTAATAGAATAATACAATTTTAAGAGTTGGCAAAAGCAAAAAGAGCCATCCAGTCCAACCTTCTGCCATGCAGGTATACACAATTGCAGCACTACTCAAAGATACCCATCCAACCTCTGTTTAAAGACCTCCAAAGATGGAGACTCCATCATCCTCTAAAGCAGTCTATTCCACTGTGAAACAGTTCTTATAGTAATAAAGTGCTTCTTAATGTTTAGGTGGAATCTCTTTCTTGAAATTTGAATCCAATTGTAATGACAATTAACTGCTCTGAAAGAGCTGTTTGAACTGTAACTATAAATAATTACTTAAAAAAAAATAAATTTCCAGCTCTGACCTTCGGTATGTTCACTCAAAAGTCAGTCCTGCTGAATTCAATAATATTCTCTTAGGTAGGCAGGGCTGAAACATACATTTAATCTTTTCCACATTTACAGCTGGGAAACACAGCATGTAAATCCACATGAACAATTTCTTATAAATACCATGGGCCTGCTGTATTGGCGGACTTCTGATCTATGATTTTGGGCGCCTGTGGATTGCCATAATAATAATAATAATAATAATAATAATAATAATAATAATAATAATAATAATAATAATTTTTATTTATATACCGCCCTATGGCGGACCAATCCGGGCGGTGAACATAGTAAGTAAAATATACAATAATACAATATAAAACAACACCATTCCCCCTCCCCCCCTTAAAAATTATTAAATCAAATCAATGTAAAACTGGTTAAACTTAACCCAATTATAAATTAATAATTAATAAATTAATAAAATTGTATACAAACCAAACCCCTGCTAATGGGAAATTAACAAGTGCTAATAAGCACTCATCGCTGATCACAGGTCTCAAGACCGGGTGGTTTAATCTGGAAAGGCC